AGTCCGATACAATGCTCTTGTCAGTCGATTGCAGTTTATTGCCACTAATAACAGAGTAATATATGCGTGTTGCATGTATCCACGCAGAAAGAACCCGAGAAGAGTCAAATAATGAGGATCCAACCACGAAACGGTATAACTTCTAAGACGAATCCAGCATATAACGCAGCCGCTGGTGTAATCTTCAGAGATATTATGACACGCCAAATTAAATATGAAGTTAGCAATCCCACTACTCCAACAAACGAATTGCATTCTCATACAAATTTTCGATAAAAGTAGGTTTAAGGTAGAAAAAAATATAACTAACGATGCTAAACCGCCATCGGAAACCTGGAATCCTAGATCAGTTCATTTTTTCAACTGTTAAAATAATGCAATCTCCACAAATTCCATATTCAACTGACAACGCATTATCTAACTAACAGTTTGTCATTTAAACGAAGCAAACGAAATTTAAGCATTCAAAAACATAATTTCATTATTACTTGAATGAAGAGAAGCACTGAGATTGAGAACACACTTTTCGTTCTATTTTCCAACCCATTAATTGAAAATACCTGCATCCTTGCCAAATCCTGAATAGGACCAAAGATTCATCATCAGTCAGTCAGTTACAACGTAGAACTTCGTACGTCAGTACATCAGTTCATGTTGCCATTCCACATTAGCAGAGAGAAGCAGTTGTCAATTCAAATCTCATAGTGGTAGAGATAGCAGTTGCTACCTCGTCGTAGTGGTTGGGCTTACCCATCCGACCGAGCTATATTGGCAGGAACAGATGTTCCTGAAGGTTCTACAATGCCAAGCGGGTCGACTTAAGAGCGGTATGACTAAAAGCGGCGACTCAAGGTCTGAGGGCGAAGTCGTAATGCTGACTGCAGAGGAGTATGACAGTAGTAAGGTGTTTCCCTCGGACAACCAGCATCTGCAGCGATGCTGCCTTCTCACAGAGAAGAAAAGGGATAGAAAAGATCGGCCCTTAAAATGTCACACCTCACCCTACCTCACGGATTTCCGTCTCCGTCTGTAAGGGTGCCCATTAAGCGCTTTTAAGAGCGGAGCTAGTACTCAAAAATCCTTTCATAAAAAGGCCGTGCGTGACCGGCCTCAAGCTCCCAGGTGTCTATGACCAAAACTAATCTACCTCCCTTTTCAAGTTCCTCAAGGAACACCCTTCCACGCTGTGATCAGCCGGGAAGTGACAACCGCCCTCATACTTGTAACAGCACACGAGATCAAGTTAGTCACAATCTAATCCTTCCTACAACCCCTAATATCCCCCTCATCTCCACGATTAACTCTTCTCACATTCCTTAAAGTTTCATCATAGGTTTACATTACTAATCGCACACTGAACACATTAAGATCTTGTCGCTCACTATACACTCCAACTTATGGTGTTCAAAGGCAGATTGATTAAATATCGCCCTCGATTCCTTCCTACAACGTGAAATTATAAACCCTTTATTAATAATTCAACTATCTATTTATTGTTCAAACTGTTGTAACATTAATTCATACTTTCAAAAAAAAACAAGAACTATGTAATTATTATTGTGGAATACTACTTTTCATAATGATTTATATAATTCCATAAATCATCAAGTGCATGAGAGTAGAACCTTAAATTCAACAAAACAAAACAAAACAAAAATTATGCTGAAAATAACCGCACGCAAATTTGAAAAATTATACAACCACATCTGTACAACAATTGAACAATTGAACAAAACACACACATATTTGAATTTATCATACACATCTATCTATGATAGTTTTATTGTTACAGCTAACAAAAAACGAATGCGAAAAAGTCAATTGAATGCACCTTTCATGTGGAAAAACAAACTTGCGTTACATTTAAAAATATTTCCCAGAATTATTATACTCTTCAATCCATTCATTGCATAACAGTATAGGTAGGTTCATTACGAGCATAAATTCAATCTTTCAATGTCAAAATAGTTTTTGTTATTAGAAAAAAAAAAAAAACAAAGTTTATTGAAAGAAAATTAAAATGTTTTTTTTTCAACATCAAACTTGATCCTACTACATGAAGTAGATTTATTATTGGTGTTAGAATGAATGTTATTTTAGCATAAATTTTAAATAGATTGAATAACCTTGAAAATAAACAGCTGCTCTACAATATCGTGTTCGTTCAATTGTATTGAACACATTGATCAATATGAAATAAATCAATAATTTGAGCAACAAAATGAACGTAAAACTGTTGATTAATTATGCAGTAGTAATAAATAATGTTTACTAATTATTGAGTTGATTTCTTAGCAATTAAAATAAATAGTTTTAACCTAGTAAAACATGAAATTTTTCTGTTTGTAAATGGTTTGAGTCAAACCCAAGACTTTTGATCTCAAGCACAAACGCTTAACCGTTTGACCACATTGTGGTGCGCGCTACTTATAAGTAGTATATGACTCGGGTAAGAACGTAATGTCTGGTAGCAGAAGATGGGGGAAGATCACGAAAGGAAGAGCGGGAACACAATGAGATTTGTATGAAACGCATGAACAGTGAAATGTCAGACAATGGATTGATGTTTGCAACAGGAACAGTGCAGTTCGGTATGATGGATTGATATTTTTCAAATTAACGATTTACGAAATGGTTTTCCTATTTTATCAATTCACTCTGTAATTTGAGATAAATACAATTCGGTTGCCCTCACCTATGTTCTCTTTCACCACAACATGACCAGCATCCAACAATGTTAATTTCTAAATTTAATCAATTCACGAGATCAAGTGACCGCCTTTCATTGTCTTTGGTAGGTAACTGCTATACATTTATCTCTACTGGTCACAGCTTCTCACTGGAACTGTGGAGATTTCCACTCAAATCCAGTCCCTAATGAGAATATGGTTGTTATTAGTGAAGAGGATTTGTGAATATCGTTTAATTTCGTGTAAATTTTTCATGATAATAACGAAGAGAATTCTAAGGATAAAAAGATTTTTAGGTGTGTTAAAATTCTATTTGATGTTTATTTACCAATCATATAAGTAGTGGATGGCAGCCAACAATACAAAACATTATATGGGCTTCATTCTGAGATGGTGGAGAAAATTTTAGCCTAGGTGGATGATTGTGGTGGTGGTTTTTGGTTCTATGAGTTGGATGTTTTGGTTGTGGAGCTTTCATTGTTCTTCTGAACAACATCATCAGCACAAACTTCAGATAGAAGTGAAGCATTCGAATTTCTCCACGTTTGACCTGTAGCTTGTTCAGTCAACCTCGATCTTGATTGGTTGCTGTTGACCTTTAACCTGTCGTTGTTTGCAACTTTGTTTTGATTGCATCCCCCTTTCTTGATCCTATGTCACCTATGACTTCCCTGATTGGTTGATAAATGGGTTCAATGTCGATGTGTTTGTTGATTGCTGATTGACCTGAGTTCCAAGCTTCTAAAAATTCTCTAGTGATCTTTGTCCTCCCCCTACCCAGTATTCATTTGAATCGATTTGGATCTACACATAGATGATCACTTCCTTACCAATTTAAAAAGAAACGTAAATATCATTCCGAAAGTAAATTAATCCGGTCTTTTGTAACCTGATTAACATACCATGAAAGAATGTTAATGAATAACCCGTTATCATTTATTTAAATGATGCTATTTATTTAGAAGGTATATGAATTATTTGAAAATAAAATTTATTTTTTATTTTAGAGTTATGGAGATCGAAGTTATACCACCAGTAGAAACTTGAAAGTACTGGACGGTCGTTTTGTTCTCATGTGAGACTCATCATCATTGCGCAGCCACGACTCCGCCTACTCGCAAAAAACAAACCCAAGACCTTCGGTCGAAAGCTGAACCTCCGGACCTCTAGGTGAGGTCGCGCAAAACTTCAGATTGATCACAATCAGACATTAACACCATTGAGTGCCTGCTCAGTGGTCCAGAGGTTAAACATTTGCTCTCAAGACTGAAGGTCCTGGGTCCTGTGAGTAGCAACAGTTGTGGTTTTGCACTGTTGATGTCGTCACATAGCATGAAGAAACAGCCATCCAGTACTTTTAGGTCCCTAATAAATTTCGAACAATGAATATTTCATAATTTCAATAATAAAATGTATTTTGGTTGAGCAATTCCAAAACTTGATTTCGTACTGATTACATTTTCGTAAAAGTCTTTCGATTTATAGTTGGAAAGTAGATGAATTAAATTACAATATAAACTCAATTCAACAAGTATATTGTTAACAATTTTTGTAACACTGAATTTGAAATTCACAGCCAAAAACAAGAAATATAATTTCGGACGAAGTAACAACTGTCTAAGACTTAACACCGTTGGATGCTGGCCCAGTGGTCCGATGGTTAGGCGTTCGCGCACAATACTGAAGGTCCCGTGTTCGAATCCTGAGAGGTGCAGGAGTCGTGTATGCGCACTGCCACTGGTGAGTCCCATACTAGGACTTGACGGTCGTCCAGTGTATTTAGGTTTCTAATAGTGGTCTAACAATAATTGACTGATGATTTCAAATGTGTTACAACGCAACAGTTTATTGAATGAATCCACCACATTGAAAATGCTACCTTTCCATCCTAATCACGATCACTAGCCATTGATTAGGATTATTGTGTGAACTACAACTATATAGCCTACGTAGCTCACTACAATTAAAGCCTACATTAATTGATTCCATGGAATTTTTCTAGTGGCTTTTCAAAGTTGAAACTAGTACGTTTGTAAATTTTCGTTGTGCAAGCTACCATTGTATGACATGATAAGCAATAGCCAAGGGTGGGTAATATATATAGCAGCAACAACCTAAGTTATGACTTAATTATCAGTCTTACAATTTCCAGCTAGAATATGTGTATACTGTCTCTTAGCATTTCTTCATTACTGGTTCCTTCATAGGTAACGAATATCCTCTGTTTTGAAAGAATATATTTGAATCCTAAACTAATACAAAACAGATTATTGTATAGTGTTTTTCGCGCTTTGATAACCAGACTAACATCTAACTTGAACTTAATGTACGCTTCGCACGTTCACACGCCGTTCTCAGACGATGCACTGCACGCTTATTTTCACAGATATCTTTTTTGTGTTTCCGCTTGAACTCCTGTATAAAGTGATTCACCATACGACTGCCAAAATCTTCACCCCCCAAGTGCGTATCGCCAGCAGTAGACTTCACTTCAAATATCCCATCCTCAATTGTCAACAGAAACACATCAAATGTACCTCCACCCAAATCAAATTTCAACACATTACGCTCACCACCAACCTTCTTGTCTAAACAATAGGCAATTGCGGCAGCTGTTGGTTCGTTAATGATTCTCAGCACATTAGGACCAGCTATAGAACCTGCATCTTTCGTTGCTTGACGCTGAGTGTCATTGAAGTAAGCAGGAACTGTTATAACCGCTTCACTCACCATCCTGCCCAAATAACTTTCAGCTACTTCCTTCATTTTCACCAGCACCATCGACGAAACCTCCTCAGCGGCAAACATCTTTTTCTCACCCTTATACGTGACACAAATCTTTGGCTTCCCACCGACTTGGGTCTCCTCGAATGGCCAGTACTTCAAATCACTCTGCACTGATGGATCATCGAACCGACGACCGACTAGCCGCTTCGCATCATACACTGTATTTCTTGGGTTAATCGCCACTTGGTTCAACGCTGCATCACCAATCAAATGCACATTGTCTGTGAATGCCGCATAACTCGGTGTCCTTCTGTTACCCTGGTCGTTGGCGATTATTTCCACTTTACCATGCTGGAAAACACCTATACACGAATATGTTGTGCCAAGATCGATTCCAATGGCGTCAGGCATTCTCTGCTAGGCCAAGATGAACAAATACACTCAGTCGAATCACACAATCCTATTTCTGACATTCAAGGTGGTTTAGAAACTAAACCGCTTACTGTAGCATTGCAACATCAGCGTCTGAAGGGACAATATAATTATCTTCTTCAGGTGGGTCGTGATCGTCGAGAGAGGCTACGGGATTCTGTTGAAGCCTATCAACTAGTTAGAGAAGCTAACGATTTACATCAACAGGTAGTCGTAAAAGAACTAGTTACTGTAACAGAAACTATCATTCCTGGAAGATTAGAGGAAGTAGAACCGGCAAAAGAAGAAGGTGGATGAGTTCGTTATGGAACAAAAGGGAACGAGGAGCTAGAGTTGAAAGCTGAACAAACCACTGGTTCTCGATGGATAATGAAACTAACTCCTCAGGCAATAGAAGTTAAAACGCCTACAAAAAAAGTGTTCCCTTCATTCAGGTTATGTTTCAACGTACCACGGAAATAACATTTTTTTTGTAAATCTCAAATACAAAGAAGCTTATTCCAAACATTCATTTGTTGTTACTCAATGCGTTCAAAATAAAACCACAACTTTTTCAATGTCAAAAATAAACAACACTCTAGTTTCTTCAGTGAGTTTAGTTCATATTTAGAGCAATATTGATAAAAAAATTTTGAATGATTTTTTTTTTTTAAAATTCTTTAGCTTACCAAGTTTTTTATTGCTTTTTTTGAAAAATAAAATGCAAATAAGGTCAGTAACTTTTTTTTAATTAGTTCGAGTTTGTTTGTTCTTTTTCGCAATAATCGTTTTAATCCAGTGAAAAGAATTTTACTGTTCCGTTTTCATAAAACATGGAAAAAAGACCTAAAAAAAAATGTTAATACCATTAATCATTACAAAGTTCATCTATAGCTTACTGGAACATCTGATTATTGATTAATCAAGATTACTTTCATATTTATATACACACATATATTCAATCAGAGTAATGGAGATTAGTGTTTTTACACATTTGAAATCATCAATCAATCATTTTTAGATCAACATTAGAAACCTAGAAGCATTGGACGGCCGTTTTGTCCTGGTATGGGACTACCCATTAGCAGTGAGCATCCATGACTACTGCATCTCGGAGGATTCGAACCCGGGACCTTCGGTATTGTGCACGAACGCTGGACCATTGGGCTGGGATCCGATGGTGTTAATGTCTAACTCCGATTGATTTAGGGATTTTTCGTGACCTCACCCATTTGTCTTTGGTAGTTACTGCCTACACCTGACGGGGTTGAACTCCATTAGTCACGTCTTCTCAACTAGAACTCTGAGAATTTCCTCACGAAGCTAGTCACTAGTGAGCACTGCTACGATATTTTGGGGCAGAGTTTTGGAGATAAGTGTTTTTACACATCTGAAATCATCAATCAATCATTGTTAGACCACTATTTTAAACCTGGAAGCATTGGACGGCCGTTTCGTCCTGGTATGGGACTCATCAGCAGTGCGCATCCATGACTCCTGCATCTCGGAGGATTCGAGCCCAGGACCTTCGGTATTGTGAGCGAACGCCTAACTTCTGTACCAGTGGACCGGCATCCAACGGTGTCAATGTCTAACTATGATTGATCTAAAGATTTTGCGCGACCTGACCTGGTAAAGGCTTAGAATATTTCACTGTTCATATTCCGGACTACAATTGTTCCATCCTGTGAAAGGTTCGTTATACTAACTTTTTAGTTATAAATTTCAATACAGTCGACAATTAAAATTACAGATTAGTGTTTTATCGTATTTTGAATTCAACATTTGAATATTAGGCCTTTGATATCATAGTTCTGTTTGTTACTATTCAGTGAATTTAGATTTTTTGTACCATTTACTATGTTTGAGTGGATATCGATATAGCGAGAATAATAATCATAAGAGAATTACTTCGAATCCAGTCTAGTTCATGGATTATCCTAAAACCTTTTTCAACCTAAATGCAATAGTAGAAAGTTGCTAAAAGTCAATAAACATTGATCAACTTCTGGAATAACACTTATGTATATTATTATGACGACAATATTAGTTTAATTATAATCAGAATATGTACTCAACATGTCTTGGCATATACTTCTTTCCATTCAGATGTACTTAGAAACAAACTTTATCCAGCTATAACCTAGTTTCAATGTAGATCTCCTGGTGGTTAACTAGATTATGAAGAGGTCAACATTTGAGAGGAAGCACAGAATACAGTGGCAAGCAGCTGGCCGATCCAGCTCTTATATACCACAAGCAGCAGCGAATTCAGGAGGAGATGGCCAGTGTAGCAGCAGCCTCTGCAGCAATAGGTCTCAAAATACACAAGAGAAAAAGAAAAGTCCTCTGATACAACACAAAATGCACCAATCAACTCACACTTGGTGGAGAAGCTTTGAAAGGTGACGAAACTTTTACATATCTGGGCAGCATCAGTGATAAACGAGTTGGATCTGATACAAATGTGAAGACCTGGATCAATAAAGCAATCATAGTATTTCTATAACTGAAGAAAATCTGGATCTCAAAACAACTATCACCAAAGTCACAACTTTCAGTAAGAACGTTAAGACAGTTTTGTTGAATAGAACTGAAACTTGAAGAACCACCAAAGTCATCATCTAAGAGTTACAAGTATTTATTAACATTTGTCTACGCAGGATACTGTTCACTCGTTGTCCAGTTACCATCATTAGATAGAGCACAGGTTGAGGAAATCACCTAGCTACATCAAAAAGACAAACCCTACCTTGGAATCTTCAAAGCCAAAGGAAATGAGGAAGATGAAAGAACAGACATAAAAAGAAGGAACAACAGTTTGATGGAACCGGAAGAGAAGATCCAAGACAGAGCGATATAAAGAATGCTGGTTGGTGGCCTATGCTCCATTAGGGGTAACGGACGTAAGTAAGTAAGTAAGTAATTAACCTATTTTTAAAAATTATTAATTTTATTAAGAGACCAATGTGGCAGGTGTAAAGTTAGGCGCTAAAATATAGTTCATTATTCACGGGACGAATTTGAACATTGAACGTGAATCTTATTGATTTTCATGTTATTCTTTAATGTGTATCCATATCACGTTTAAAATGAATGGGGCCATTTTACTTAATCGTTAAAACAAAGACAAACATTCATGTACACTGGAATTTTTATTTTTTTGTTAATTTTCCTCGTCAAAAACATATTGAACATTGAATAATATTATTATGATTTTTAATGAATCATCCTCGAAAATCATTGTTATTCAAAACAGGTTTATAACACATAAATACACATAGTACATACTGTAAGAAAATGATAATTTTAGATCGAATAACAAGTCCAAGTTTTAAATATATCATATATAAAAGAAAATGAATTCAATTTGTATTGTAAATCATAGTTATTATAATGGATTAGAAATAGTAGGTATGTTCTTGTTTTAACTTACTAGAAATCCGAAATAATGAACAGAATGTTTCTTAAAACAAGAAAGTAGTATAATGTGAATTTTAAGTGAGAATAATTAATTAGTGAATGTATTCAAAAATATGG